ATTGGGTTGTTTTTGTTCTGATGGGAATATCACACAGAAATAGCTTATTGGGTTGTTTTTGTTCTGATGGGAATATCACACAGAAATAGCTTATTGGGTTGTTTTTGGGGAGCATTATAATGTGATGGTCAATCCCACTATTCGTTGGTAAAAGAGTAGCCCAAGAGTTGGCAGTGGGTGGTGATGACTAGCTGCCTTCCCTCTAGTCTTACACTGCTAAATTAGGGACGGCTGGCGCAGATAACCCTCGTGTAGCTTTGCACAAAATTCATAACAAACAAATGTTTACCGTAACCTACATAGCAAATCTGGCTCGATTGGCAATACCAAACTTGCATCCATTATTATTATTTTTTAATCATTTACATTTTATTCCTTTAATAAAATTGCTTATTCTTTACATAACGTTAGCATATACCCTACAATCTTAATCATTCAAATGTTAAACTTAACAGATTTCTTTTTAAGTATTTATTTTTTTTCCTAATATTTAGTTGTAGTGGAAGAATATGAAATATATTTTCATAATTCTTTACTCCACTCAGAAACAGTTGAACTAATTACATACAGTGTGCTGTAATCTCAATCACACACACACACACATATATATACGTGTTTGTTATTCAAACATCTGACCCAAAATATTGGATTTAGAATCATAATTGGCTCAGTGAAAAATCCTCCTCAGACTTGAAACTGTTATAAATAATGTTTATTTTGTATGTGCCCAAGTATCATATATTTTACACTGGAAAATGATTAACACTGTAGCAGGAGACCTAAAGGTTTAATCTTCATCTCAAATGACACATCCAGTCATTGTTGTAGTTATCATTTAATATAGCAGTACATAGCTTGCTGGTTAACCAGTTGTTCTGAGTAATGAGCAGGTTAATTCCAGAAAATAGTAAGAAATGGTGTTAAATTATCCATACCCTAACTCTGAAATTTTGTGGTAAAAATAAAGTTGACGAACTTAATCTACTTCATGTAACAGTCGAGCAGTTTTGTAATATAAATAACATTTTAACAACTACTTCATCGTGCCTGTAGAGCCCTGGATATAGCAGATATTGTGTGGTTTAAGTATTATACTCTTCATTACCTTTAACCAGAAGTTCTTATTAACTGTTACCCTGGAAAAGACAAAAAATTATAGTATTATCATGCCAATTTCAGGTGTTGATTAACAGTCATATACTTGGTTCTTACGTATTATCTTCAAGATGAAATATAGATTGTTTTATTGAACATTTCTCAATAAACCCTTCTTGAAACAGTTTATCATCTCATTCACCTACATATTCTAACAAACTCTGTCCTTGATTGGTAATACAAGTCAATTATGCTGTGTTTAATCTAATGAGGCTCACTGTACTACAGGACCCAAAGTTTTAAGTTAATATGCTGTGTCTAATCTAATGAGGCTCACTGTACTACAGTACCCAAAGTTTTAAGTTAATATGCTGTGTCTAATCTAATGAGGCTCACTGTACTACAGTACCCAAAGTTTTAAGTTAATATGCTGTGTCTAATCTAATGAGGCTCACTGTACTACAGTACCCAAAGTTTTAAGTTAATATGCTGTGTCTAATCTAATGAGGCTCACTGTACTACAGTACCCAAAGTTTTAAGTTAATATGCTGTGTTTAATATAATGAGGCTCACTGTACTACAGGACCCAAAGTTTTAAGTTAAAACATATTTAAGTCAATTGTTTGAGTTTGTTTTTTATTACCTTGAAAAATAGTCATACTTTATTAACTTTAGTGTTATACAACCAATATAAATAGCTTTTCAACTATAGCCGGGTGTTTTAGTCCAACCGGGCCAATAACTTATGGTACTGAGTGAAGGGTCTCTTGAAAGTCTGTGAAAGTAAATTTTTTTTACAATTTTACTTTGAGTATACTTAAATTCCTTTATCTATAGTAATGCAACTTGATTTGTCACAATTAGTAATGTAGAAATTATAGCTGACCTAAAGTATCTTTTCTTATTAAACCTTTTATTAAGCACATAAATGCAAAAAGTAAGCAAAGTATTTTTATCACTGGGTGTGGAAAATTTATTTTTGGATTTTTTTTTTTCCTACATGTCTTATGAAATGCTGAGCTTGTAATACAATATTTGGCTATTACTTCTTGTATGTATATAGAAATGTAAATCAGCTTTTTGGTATAACATGAAATCTTATACAGACTACTTATAAAAAGGTTTAAAACTGCTTCCCAGTCCCTGGTTCTTATGCCTATGTACAAACAAGAAATTAAACAAAGATTGGAATGAAAAATCTGAAACAGTAGCTCAGCCTAACTACATTTTGAATACTTTCACTTGAGACTACCTTCGATTTATTGTACACAATAATAACTACCTTAATATGTCACACCTTTAATTCACTATCTTTGAAACCTGAAGCAGCTGCTTACAAAGTACAATTCTTTGAAAGTTTGATGGCAGGACCTCAATAGATTAAGGAAAGCTTTATCATTGTTCATCTTTGTCGGGTTCTCTCACTGGCTGCAGCTCTTCTTCATAGTATTCTCGTATATACTGGACCTTTCGGATAAGCTATTAAAACCACAAAAAAGGAAGTTCGAGGATTTAAAATGGAAATATAAATAAGGCTAACTCAACTACAACAGTAAAAGACTGCACATAAATGTATCAAAGAAAAACAAAATTTATGGAGCAACACGGCAATTTTGATTGGAGGAGTGACTTGTCATAATACCTACGTATATTGGCTTTTTTATGGCTAGATCACATGTTGGAAAAATATGAGAAAAACTAACTTTCTTAAGAAATATAATTCTTAGCACTACCAGGATTTCACAGAATGCCACATCATCAGAAAAGGGGGAAACCAAAGTTTCCAGCTTATCTGTTTCAACATATAAACATTCCAGAAAATTTGAGACCAGTTTTTTGAATTATCCAACAAGTGTTGCAGGTTTGAATAGACATATTTTAGATTAAGACTACAAATACGTGTATCCTTAAAATCAAAATGAGCATAGTTCAAGGATGAATGCATCCTATTTGTCTAGAACTTGTATTTGAGTAGAGATACCTGACAAAAATAGATGATGAAAATATACTGTTATTGTAGGCTGTACATTTTTTTGAATTAGACATTTGTGTTATTGCTTCTTTAGGCTTAATGACTAGAACCATCTTGAAAGTTTAGGAAATGAATTATATCAAAAGTAATTTATGCTCAGAATGATTAATTTTGTCTGTTATGGTCGATAATTGATTATTAAATTAGTGAGTTTGTTAGCTTACTTTAGTCAAGCAGTTATTAAGTTCATTCAGTGTTGTGATTATTGAGTTTTGCTCGACAAATAAATAGGGATAAGGAGAAGTGCATAAGGAGAAGTTTTTTCATCGTGGACTTTGATATATGAAAAGTTGAAGAAAATAAAATGCATTCATTAAGATTAAATGGACTGGACCGAGCATTATTTTTTCCCAACTAAGCCTGCCCAATGATAGAAGCCATTATTGCAACACTAGAATGGTTGGATTTATGATGTCTACATAACACAATGTCACCAGTCTCTTTGTGACCCAAAGTCACACTATCTGCAGTCTTCACTATAATCAACAGCTTTCCCTCAACCAAAAGTAATGGTCACAAACTGACCTTAATTAGAAATATGACGTACACAAGATGTAAAGAATAATGCTTATAACTCTGTATAGGCATTTCAAGCATAACTTCAAACATGTATTCAAAAATGTCATTAAGAATTTCTCCTTTCTCTGAAAAAAATTATTACACCTAAATATACTATCTAGTGATAATCATACTGTTAATAAATGGCTAAATTCCAGGTTACCATTCATAGAATAAAACCATAAGCAAATAAGTAGTAATCTTGATCATATTTCTTACTTTTAACCCAGGCCTGGTAATAAGGATAGGCAGTTGGCTAGGGTTTCAAGTTCTTTGGAGCTACAGTGTGAGTAGAGATGCAGCGTTAATTTAAATCTAGGGCACCAAATCAAGCTATTTCCAGACCAATTTTAACATGTAAAATGTCAGTATTATATTTTATAAGAAACCTTTTCTATAATAGAATGTTCTGAGATGAATTTAGGTATTTCTGTATAATATTCCTGTTAGAAGTGCACATATACTAGTACAATAGACAAACATCTTCAAACAAAAATTATTAAACCCCAAAGCAAAACCATTATCAAATTCATCATCTAGTTGTCAGTAAATCGTAGTTTGCAAGTCCAGCGTGTGCATTGCTTTTTTGTTTCGATTTATTATGTATTGGATTTCACGTACTTAACAATGTAGACTTCAGTATCTTTGTTGAGAGACATTTAGTTCAAAAACTTCTAAAGGTGACAAAGAGTATCACTATACATTAGGCAGAATTCCTGATGTTGAAACATGATATCTTGAAGTAATATTGCTTCAATGTATCACACTGAAGTTTTGCAGTTTTCATTGTAAACACTACTCTTGGTATCATTTATGAAACTCAGTTTACTTTAATTTTTTGTTGCCCTTTATATCCAGGAAAAATCTAAACTCAACGACGGGGCTACTGAAGCTGTTGGTTGTATTTTTTGTGACCCCCAGTTTGGAACACTGGTCGAGCGACAACAGGCATTACGGCCCAAAATGTTGCAGGGTTCTCGAAGTCAAGGTGCTTCTAGAGGAAGGGGGAGAGGTCGAGGTCGAGGTAGACCTAAGAGTCGGGGACGGGGTAAACCTAAGGATAAAATGGCTAAACTTGCAGCTTATTTTGTCTAACTATTTGTTAGAACATTTTAAATGGTTATATTAAGCCAAGATCATCATTATTATTATTATTAAACCATGTAATATTTAATCTTGTTTAGTAAACTGTTTTAAATATTTCCATGTGTGTTTCAGTGTTTTTGATTTATTCTGTATGCCATAAAAAAATTTGTTTTAAGTTCAAAATAATTTAAAACATTAATATTAAACTTGTACTGAATAACTTCCTAATTTTAAAATGGTTAATTTTTATACTGCTACGACAACCCAGTTTTTTAATCAAACATCACTTTCTGATTGTACGTACATGGTGCGATAATAAATCCTCAAAAGTAATCACTATTTTGAACTGCAAGCATAACATACTCAATTCAGTACCTGCCAACTTGAATCCCTGTTACATCAAACATGCTTACCCTTTCAGCCGTATTCACCCAAGTATACCAGTATATGTACATTCACCCAAGTGTACCAGTATATGTACACTCACGCAAGTGTACCAGTATATGTACACTCACGCAAGTAGTACCAGTATATGTACA